AATAATATTAACACATGTGAATCGTATGAAGTTTTGAATCATAACAAATTCGAAAAATATTTGAAACGAGAGAACTGGGAAACAGTACTTCATTCAGATAACCCACATATTGCCTTCGGGGTATTTTTTGATAAACTATCAAAGTATTTGGATAATTGTACAGAAATTAGGGTAAAATCAAAGAAATTGCTAAAAATAAAACCATGGATGACAGATGGTCTGCTTAAATCAATAACTCACAGGGACAAATTAAAACAAAAATGTTTGAATAATTCTACAATAAAAAATGAAACTGAATATAAACTGTAGAGAAATTACTTAACTAATCTCCTACGCGTATCAAAAAATGAGTATTACTCGCATAAAATTGTGGAAGCAAAATATGACATGAAAAAATTTGGAGCAATATAAACGAAATAACTAGGAATAAAATTGAAACATTTTGATATTGTAACTGACAATGAACTTGAAATTCCATCAGATTCAGAGAAAGCCAACTATTTTAATGAGTTTTTTGCTGAAATTGGGGAAGACATGGCCCGAAAAATAGAGAAACCCAACCGATAACAACTAAAGAACTAATCACTGTTATAGCTGGACCCAAAAATAGCACATCTCCTGGACCTGATGGAATTTCTGTTCATATTATTAAAAAGTATCACACTTACTTTGCTATACCCCTCTGTCATATTAAATTTAATCTTCGTAGTAGGAGAAATACCAGCCTCCTTCAAAGAATCAATTATAGTACCAATTTTCAAGTCTGGGGATAAAACACTTGTAACTAATTATAGACCTATAACCTTCATAGACCATTTTGCTAACATTTTTGAANCATTATATGAAGAGAGTGGAATATATAGTGTACGAAAACTGTATAGTTTCCGTTATATATTATGGACAGCCAGTGTTACGAGTTCATTTGTTCAGAATATATATGATACTCGTTTACACACTTCTCAGATTGCAAAAGTTCCACGATGCCGACTCACAATCAAAAATTTATTACATACATTGGACCAAAACTCTACAATTATTTACCGCCATCACTAAAATGTATCAGAAGTTATACTAAATTGAAAATAGAATGTAAAACATTTATCAATCACAACTACCACAGATTGGAAACATTACTGGATAGTTGACTAATTCACCGTACTGCAATCACTCAAAACAATGTCACAAGCTGTTGTTTCTGTATCTTCTTTCGTATTTGATGCTCTTGTTATGCTAAAAGACTGCTCATCATTTTAGTCGTCCTTCTAGGACTTCCCAGAAATAATTAGTAGGATCATCATCGTTTGTAAATGTATTATTTGTATTGGATTCGTGGCTGTAACACAAGCTTGGCTTAGATAGCCACGATCCTTCATAGATGTAACGTATAGTTCTGTAAAATAAGTTGTATTGGTTTATATTTTATATTAATCTGAATTGAATACATTTTGATTTAATTTGATTTATAATAAAAGTATGGGCGGAGTTGATTGTTCAGATCAAAACATAAGTTTATATCGCACATCTGTAAGAGGTAATAAGTGGTACTTCCCTTTTGAAGGGAAGTATCACTTTAAGTTACCAATTGCGTCGACATGGCAGTAAGCAATGCTTGGTAATTGCATAAAAACTCTGGAGGAATGATGGATCAGCTGTTTTCAAGGAAAAGTTACCATACTCCTACCCAATACCCTACTCACCCAAAAAAAAAAAATATTTACGAGAGAACATAGTTCCAAAAATATGAGTTCAGAGTTGTGATTTGATCGAATAAACCATTTAGTCATGCCCCAAGAAAAACAAACTAGTTGTGGTTCTTGCCACAAAAAAGTACCATTAGGTGTCAAAAGTTTGACATTGGTTTGCATGTTAAATGTATCATAACACACGATACTAAATAATAAATAGTTACTTTTCCAAAACATTCACAGTATAGCTTATGCCCATTGTCCTATATAAGGTTCGTTCCAACCTTGAGTCATAAACAGATTTCCAACTGTTTGTAAATCGTTTTCAACGCGCATGTCTGGTAAATATTGAATTCTGATTAGTTTGAAATTTCTGATTGGAACAGCTGATAGTTCAACTGAAGTTTGGCATGGAATTTCAACATAACCTTTAAAAATAATTTGGGAAAGAAAGTTTTTGGCTTTCTNCTCCTAACATATACAATGAATGAGTTTTTCTCTTATCTACATTAGTAAAAAATATTTTTGTATTATTTTTCATCATTGCTGCTTCGTTCACTCACTTGATTGCTTTAATAGCTCTTGTTTTTTATGAATATGTCTGTTATATACTTGTATTTTAAATCTGTATTTGAGTACTGACTTATCCAATGCTTTTTTAAGCTCATTTTAATGGATTAATTAATAAACAAACAGAGATTTGTCAATTAGAAATAATTATAGACCAATATTATGAAGTCCAAAATTTATTTTCTAGTGTGCCGCCAATAGAAACAATTGGGTTTGTCGAGCACCTTTTAGACAGAAACCACATATATCCAATATTTAAAAATAAAGTTTTAGATTTGACTCTTGTAGCGAGGATCTAATAATGGGAATGGGAGTCCCTTGTTAGCTGAAATTTTCATGGACTACCAATAGAATCCATACCAATCGGCTTATTAATACAGATATGTAAATGGTATCTTAGTCTGTTTCAGTGGTAGAGATAGGCAATTTCATTGAATATGCCACCCTTCGAATAAATTCACGACTGAGATGGAAGTGAATAACTCTATGAATTTTATAGAGTTGACCATAACTAGAATTAATAATGAACACGATTTTGCAATTTTCCACAAACATCTTACACGGAAATCGTTATACACAATTAATCTATACAACATAAATTAGCAACATTCAATAGTATGACTCACCGACTATTAAATATTCCACTTTCAGAAAGTAATTTTCAAAGAGAAGTGATTTTTTAAAAACATATTGCAGTCAACAACAGTTACGAGGTGGACATTATTGAATCAATTCTTATTAAGAAATTACAGAAACAAGCTTTAAATCAGTTTTATCCAGAATGATACTAAACATTATGTAGGTCTAACTTACTTCGGTGATCCTACAAATAACATTGCTCGATTTTTAAAAGACAAACAATTGGACGTAGCCTACAGAACAAATAATAATGTGAGTAAATTCATTCAAAACAATAAAAATAAAACTTCAGTGTCGGATAGATCGGGAGTATACAAGTTGACTAGTGGTTCTTGCCCAAAATTTTTTTATCGGACAAACCGGAAGACAAAGGAATAAAAAAGAACAGAAGTAGTTTTTTGAATGGGAAGACCAATTCTACATTTGCGAATCATCTTTGACTGAGGGGCATGAGTTCTATCACGATTATGACGTATTACATTTGGAAGACAAAGGTTCAATACTCAACCTTTTGGAATGTTTAGAAATCGATATTGCATTTACTTTGCAATGAGAAAAATTGATAACTAGAACATATCTTAAAAGTAAAATTAAAAAAATTGTTACTCATTATTCTCCAGTCTCATGAGTTGTTCCTAGATAGGTAAATAATTTAGAAAATGAATTTATCATGTATAAATTTAACAGGTAGTAATATTCATGATGATTCAAATTACTATAAAAGCACGACACAGAATTTGTACAACAACAGTATTGTGATGCCCGAAAATGCTATCTTATAGCGTAACACGTGTCGCGATTTTGTAAACTTTCAAGTGAAAATCACACATTAAAGTGTGTTTTTTGAATAATTTATAATGGATTTTCTTCAAGTATCGGTCAGTTTTATCATATTTTTAACAATCAAACAATAAAAATGTGTTCAAGTCCAAAATTACCTGAAAACTGTTCAATAGACTTGCAAACTTGATAACATGTCTGGTTTCTGTCAAATCTTTGTCACACCCTTTTAAATCATTCAAACCACTATTTACATCACTGTGTTCATCATCGTTGGGCATTTGAGGCTTTGGCTAAATCTTGGTGGCACTGTAGTACTAGCCCTGAGGTAACATGTTGTCTGTTCAAGGCTAATAGGGCTTATCTGCTGTCAGTGCAGATTCTTATGTTTTTGCCAGAAAATCCTTTCCTGGTTATTTCTTTTGTGGTGATTGAGATACCAGCCAGTTCTGTTTGAAACCACGCTGGTATTTTTTCCCATTCCCCACTTTTCTTTATCCTATATTCAATATGAATTTCTACAAAATAAATAGGTCATCAATCGAACATATTGAGGTTAAACAAAAGATTGGTTTCAAAACGAGTTCTTGAAGTGCAGAATTCATGAACACATACAAAAATGAGGTAACCAAAAAGGAATAGATATTCAAGGGAAGGATTACGCAGAAGTTTCTAATAGATGCACCCGATATATTCATTTTCGAAAGTCTTAGCCTTTTGCAATATTTTTGGCTTTTGTAAAAGATGTAAATGGCGCTTATATGACATCAAAAAAGAAGGAAGTCTATGGAATATTACTATTTGCGGTACTTTAAAACAAGCGTGTTCTCAAAATTGGGATTTAAAAACGCTGACACGTACTTTAAAAAAGCACAATAGGGAAGCAATTGAAATAAAATCGAAATAAAAAGATTTTTAAATAAGCTTAAAACAATAACGAACGAAATATACTAGTATCACTGTGAAAAAAGCGACGGGCGCTTGATACACAAAAAATATGGCACAAAGGCATCAGGCGCGCAAAGGAGGGTTACAAATATGGCAGCAGGCGTGCGTGTTAATAAAAAAAAATACTTTTTTCGAATAAAGAGTAAAGTGAGTTCGAATTTTATCAAGGAGGTTACGTACAGCGGCATCTGCCCGCGAATAGATCAAGCAATAATGTCGATAATTCTGTCAAATACAGATGCCGAGCATTCAAACGGGAATAAATATGAAATGAAAAGGAAAGTTACAAAAAACCAAACATACATATATACAGGTGAAGCTAATAAAAGTGTGTTAATTATTAAAAAAATAAAAATTCCAATAGCACCCTCAAAATACTCACAAGCCGATAGTTACTTCAATTCCAACTCCTGTGGAACTACCAATTGGTATATACTCAAAGCGAACCGATGTGTCAACAAGTTTCACTATCATTCGACGTTTCACTGAAAAAAAATTTCTTTAAATAATGATAATAATTATTTATCAAGCACACGCTATAATTTTTGTAAAAACGAATAAAATGGCATATTGAGAGAAAACAGAAATTAAAAATAGAAATTAAATTAATCAGTACAAGGAAAATCTCTCAACTTACCGAAATCTAGTGCGTTGGCAATATTGTTTACGCCTTCGTTGGCCTGATCGCAACTTGGACTAGACATGTTCGTTGGATGACCAGGACCAGTTGCTTCTGGGTTACTGTTGCTGTATACTCCATTGGCTAATTCTTCTACCGAAGTTGTCATGGCACTCCATATTGATTCAAACATTGATGTACCTTTAATTTAAAAAAAAATGAAAATATGTTAGAAAATTTAAATATGGATACTGATGAGATATTTAATTTCAACGTAGGCGAGAGATTTAAGCAGAATGAGTAGCACACTGTGTCATGAACTCTTCATGAAAAAAAAATGAATAAGAGGGTACTTCTACAAAAAATAAAACTCCAAGTTAAAATCATTCCAGTCTCAGCTAGAACTAATATCTCAACGACTGAAGATTCAAAAAGCACTGTCACTCTACTGAAATCAAATAAGGTATAAAACACATTAAGAATGTTGCAGGAAAAAAAATAAGTTCATAAACACTCCCAAAAAAGAGATTTCGATATTCGAGTAGGATTTTCTTCTTAGTTTGTAACATTCTCTGTTACAGGAAAAAAATAGTATGTGATTAATCACTACCACTAAGTTCATAAACACTCAAAAAAAAAATTCGATATTCAAGTAGGATTTTCATTTTGGTTCAGAGGTGAAGAGAAAGTGAAATCAAATTTTCCTAGAGAATTTTATGAATAGATGATACAAATTGTATGTTGAACGGAACAGTTAGTTCCCAGAATTCTTGCTGGTGGTCCAACAATGATTCAAATTTCATGTCCTTTTAAAAAGCCATGTTGTTGATTGATTAGACTGCTGGAGCAATACCAAGAAAGTTGTTTTGCCATAAGACAATCAAATATTTTGGAATTGACGCATGGAATACTAATACTTCTATAATTTTTTACATTACATCTATCTCCTGATTTGTGAATGGGTTTGATAAAACTGGTTTTCCAAAACACAGAAAACTCACCAGAATCCAAAGATAAGTTAAATAAAAGGTATATTGGAGTACTCAAGGTACAAGCACATATCTTGAGTAAAAATGATGGAACACCATCTGGCCCAGAACTGACACTATTTTTGAGCTTACTCATTTCATTAAAAACTTCATATTAACCAAATAATTTGACCACATGCTTTTATGATGTATCAGTTTGACTGAAGTTTTGGATATTCTGCCTCTACATGTTAGACATAATTTGGGGTATCAGCTTGATAGGGCACCGATCCACCAAACAGTAGAAGTGATTGGAGAGATTATTGGCCACCAAGATTACCGGATATTCTTACCAGTTTCAGGTCGGTATTTCGGATGTACGATTATTTTTGCCCCAGTCGCCTCAATTAGAGTATCCGTTTTCCATATCGGAAGCCACGGGAGTGTGAGTTTTATTTTGTCTGTGTACACATCTACCACTTCCAATGGCAAGTTCAGCCCCTCGATGTTTTCATTGACATTCTGAAACAAATTGAACATTTGTAAAACAAAATAATCAACCATTTCATTTTGAGCCTCTCCTCTATTTCATAAAACACTGTTAACAATATTGTTAATCTTGAACATATTTCGCGGCTTTTCGAAACGATAGGTACAGTTCGACAACGTGAGATTACCTTACACATGCGTCATCAATAAAATACTTTTCTTCTGCTACTCGGGAACTGTTTGGATTATCAATCAATCAATCAAAAATATGCTTTATTACCCAAGATCTGAACATCTTATTGGCAAATTCTAGTAAAGTAAAACATGTATATGGGACAATTAATAGTGATCGACCGATATAGAAATTTTAGCCGATACCGATAATCGGCCGATACCGATATTTCAAATACCGATATACCGATATATCGGTCTATCGGCCGTTAATTTTTTTCCATCGTGGTTCGTACAGTTGTACTAACATAGCTGAAACCGTAAAAACATGTACGTCCATAATTCGCATCCGTCGTAATATATCCAGTGATAAGGCACTCAATATGAGCGTTCACGCATTTAATGAGAATATCACATATATAGCTATGTGGGTAGAACTTTACTTCATTTCAGCTCCAGCAATACTTCCATTTCGTCCTTTATCATTTTGAAATCAGAATTTTCCAAAAAATATTCCTTCCTAAAACTGTACTGTCTCGTTTGGAAATTTCTCCGTATTGCTGAATGCACGTGTTGCGCTACCGTCGTCGGACGTTTCTGCAGGTCCTAACTTGTATTTGTCTTCTGTCGTTTCATGATAATTTTAAGTTGTGCCTTATTTTAGTTGTGTTCGAAG